CGCGTAAAAAGACAGTATAAGTCATTATAATCCATAATTATGTCCCCACTGGATGCAACAAATGCCTCGTTTATAATGGGTTTTCATGTTTTTGAATCATCGCTCCGGCCGGACAGGGCATCACAGTATGGTGAGGGGCGTAACATTTCTGTCACACGCTTGAGGTATTCGGCCAATCACAACGCACTGGATAGCTGGCCAATCACAGCACAACTCGCTTTTTAATACCGATGAGCTTTGTAAAAATCGACGCGTTTTTGCATAGAGGAGAAACAGTAATGTACAGTATGTACGGCGGGGCATAGAGGAGAAACGATAATGTACAGTATGTGGAAATAATGTGTTTTTTGAACCTTAAACCGCATAAACACATTTCATTACACCAAATACACAAAATAATGTTCTTTTTAGCATCATATGACCCCTTTAATTAAAAAGTCAAGTTAAATGAGTGAAGTTGCTCACATTGTGAAGCTTGAAATAGAGTCCGCAAGCGTTACACACGGGCTCTCCGCCGGCGTTGCGTCTCCACAGCGTGGTGGTGCTGGTCTGACAGTTCGCACATTGAGTTCCTGTTCGCTTACTGATGACCTACAGAGAGAGAAATATCATATAGCAGAAAGTCTATAAATCACATATAGACTACTGTTTAAAAGTTTGAGGTCAGTAAGAAATCAATACTTTTATTCAGCAGGGATGCATTAAATTGATCAAAAGTGACAGTAAAGACAATTATATTACTGCAAAAGGTATTTGAAATAAATGCTGTCCTTTTGAACTTACTTCCACAAAAACATTAAGCAGCACAACTGTTTTTAACATAGCAGCAGCAGCAAATCAGCATATTAGAATGATTTCTGAAGGATCATGTGACACTGAAGACTGGAGTAATGATGCTGAAAATTCAGCTTTTTAAATACATTTTAAAATACATTCAAATAGAAAATAGTTATTTCAAATTGTAATAACAGTTCACCGTTTTTACAGTATTTTTGATCAAATAAATGCAGCCTTGATGAGCAGAGATTTTTTTTTTTTTTTTAAGTTCGTTCTCTTTATCAGTGAATTGAGTATAAGTGAGGTGTACCAGTCTCTTTTTGGGTCGGATGAGGGGTCTGTTCTGTCCGTTCATCTTGTGGTACAGACCGCAGGCATTGCAGAGGTAGTGTCCCGTTCCATCACGCCGCCACAGAGGGGTTGCAGTGGCCCCACAGTTTACACACTCACGCGGCTCTGTCACCACAAAAGATCATAAATAATGTTCACATTGCACATCATTGCCCAGCTTTATCAGAAATACACAATGAAACGCACTCTTACAAATAAAGATTTCAATTAGGGCATTTACAGACTGAAGTCCTATGAGAACTTTTAGTCTTTCGTTTTTTAGAAAACCATTTATGTGCTGGTGATTTTTATACAATTCAGAAACCAATGTGCTGATCTGCAGAACCTTTAGAGTAACATCAAAACCCATATAGTAGCTGAACCAAAAGTACTGCAAAGAACCACTGAAGAACATTACATTTTAAGATTGTATACACTTTAAAAAAAGATCGTAATTTTGACAGTTAAAGACTGTAGAAAATACTAGGGTAAAAACATGTTAGTTGGTTAACAATAAGTTCCCTTATTCTATACTGTGAAACTGTATCTAAAGAAACTTTTCATGTAATTTTACAGTAAAATGTACAGTTTTTGGAAGGGAAAAGAATGTCATCTTATAATTTACAGTTAAAAACTGTAAACTGAAATTCCCAGAATTCCCTGTGACAACTCACATTTGATGGTTTTTCATTGATTCATTCATCTTAGTTTTTTATTGCCAGTTATGTACATTAGGGTTTTATGCTACATGTTAATTCATATTTATTCCATTATTTTTGTGTATTAGTGTATTATGTGTATTAGTATTTACCACAGCTTGTGGAAAAGCTACTTGTGATGAACTTACCATTAAATTAACATGACTTCACATTTTTAATAAAACACCAAAGTTTATTATTATTATTCTTATTTAATTATTTTAAATGATGGGATTGGAATATTGTAATTGTTCTACACTTTGTGTTGTTTGTTTGTTTGTTTGGATATTATAACAAAATGTATTCAAAATAGAAATACAAAAAAAGACCAGAATGGCTCGAGTTAATGGATCACAACATGAAAGGTTTGACTCTAGAACGGTTTAACTTCACTGCAGAAAAAAGATTGCGTTTTTGTTTTTCTAGTACAAATATCTAAACCTTTCTTAAATCAAGATACATTTAATTGAGAAGAAAAATGACATAACATATTGTCATTTTCCAAAAAAAAAAAAGTTTGAGCAAAACATGCTAACTGTTCTGTCTTTGTCTGCACAGACTAGCACAAAACACTATTTAGATCTAAAATAAAACATGCGATTTATTTCTCAGCTGTTTACTTTCACAGACATAACCGACTGTTTTTGTAACTTGTGGGTTTTTTAATGTAAACTTGTGTGTGAATGAGAACTTAGTTTAGTACTCACATGCTGTGACAGCCGCTTTCTGTCCGTGTGCTTCGGATGTGTGCGCTCAGAAAACCGTATATCAGAAGTTTAAACTCATATGGTTTAAACCGCATGATTTCAGCGCGATAAACATGATAATCAGAACCATAACAGATGTTTTTAGCAGATACCAGCTGTAATGATGCAGCTCTATTCTGGAAAAAGGGGCGGGGAGCAGCAGCTCATTTGCATTTAAAGAGACAGGCCCGAAAAACAGCGTGTTTCTGCTTCCACTCAAAATAGGCATTTTCAAAATGATATAATAAATGATCTGTGGAGTATTTTGAGCTTAAACTTCACAGACACATTCTGGGGACACCAGAGACTTATATTACATCTTGTAAAAAGGGGCATAATATGTCTCCTTTAAACTAAACATTTTTTTTGCCAATGTGGTCAGATGAAAAATAAACTTAATTCAAAAGGAAAACGAGATTATTTTTCTGAACCCATTGGCAGATATTTTTTATTGTTTTAAGCAAAAACCCAGTTAATTTTGATAATTTTATCAGAAAACAAAACTTAATACCTTAAGTAATTTTGCTTCTCAAGTAAATCTATCTTGATTTAAGAATGTTTAGATATTTGTACTGGAAAACAAGACAAAAATATAGAGTAAGAAAATCGCTTTTTGCCACCCCACATTATCCGCCTGTTATGATACTTCCTCACCTAAAGGAGAGAATTTCATCTTGCTGCATAAGTTGGGTGAGAAGGACGAGGGTGTGTAGAGAAGCGAACTGCTGTAGTCCTGCGTGAAGCTCCCGTAAGGACTGTAGTGGCTCAGTGACTGCGAGTGTGTTTTCGAGGAGTGTGTCTGCGCATACACACTGCTCACTGAAGGGGAAAACACACCGCCAAACGACTCCCCACCTCCAGGAGGACTCGGCCTCTCTCCTTTCATGCTATCCTGCACAATGAGGGTGTCCTTTTGGTCCTGGATAAGGGAGGGAAGGGCAGAACGAGGCGGTCTGGCAGATGAAAGGGACGTGGAGCCGTGGAAGGATGCGGAATACGCACTGCTGTGCCAGGAGGATGGGGATGATGGGAAGAGGTTGGTTAGAGAGGGGCTGCTCGAACTTTCCAGCCAGGACAGGTTTCCCAGGATTGGAGAGGAGTAAACGGGATATACTGAGGGAGAGAAGGAGGAAGGAAGGAAGCTCAAAGAAAGAAACTGAAATCAGGGAAAGTCTGTTAATGCTGCTCCATTGGGCGGCTCAAGTAAAAAGAGCATGTTGATAGCACCACAGAGACATATATATTTTTTATAGTATTTATATATATTTTTAAAAGTTTCAACTTTAATTCAATTACTTTTCTGCATATTAAACTGGGATATGAGAAAGTATTTGGACATCAAAAGTATTATTTTACTTGTGTAAAGTAAAAATGCTCTAATAAAATTCTTCTTATAATTTAATTTAGACCTTCAAAGTACAAATCCTGACTCTTTTCTCTGATAAAAGAAAGATTTTTGTACATCTTATTGAGTAATTGAGACAATTTAATCATTTTTTTTGTCAACTTTTATTCATAACATTAATGACATTTGGGAGATTTGTCCTTGAGACACAACACAGTCTTTAACAATACATTTGAAATATAACCATTACTGAAGATGTCAAAATCACTCATTTTATGGCTAGATAGTCCCATACTTTCACTTACATATAGTTTCTCTTTACTAATGGGTTCTTTTTATATTAGTTAAATGCTTTTTTTTCTTTATAGGACAGCACAGTATATTTTGGACATGTTAATACTATGGCACTGTTCTTTAAAGTACCAAGAAAATGTAATAGCATATGAATATGGTAATTGTTCAGTACAGTATACACTACTATTTGATTAAATAAATGCAGCCTCGGTGAGCAGAAGAGCCTTCTTTCAAAAACATTTAAAAATCTTACCGACCTCAAGCTTGTGAATGGTAGGTAGTGTATATCAAAGTAACGTGTGACACTGCCATAATACTTTCTTGACAGTGTGCTGTGTCCTGTATGTGCAGCACTGACCTGAGCTGGTTTGAAATGCTCCAGATGGACGACCATTGACAGGGCTGCTGAACAAAGAGGGCAGGCTGCTGTGATCTGCATCGGTGTAGGGGTACACTGAACCCTCCTCAGTGTGGACCATATAGCTGGAGTCAGGTGGGTAAGTGGGCATCACCTCTGATGATACCATGGAGGAGGAAACCCAGCGAGCCTGTTCAGCGGAGGTCTCCATGTCTGTCAGGAACTCCTTTTGTACCTCGTGAAAAAGGACATTTAATGCACATGGAAAATGTCACATAAATTTTTTTTTTCCCCCTGAAGTAGCATGTTAAAGTGTAGTGCATTGAGGGAAAACCTCCTAATTATGCATAATTCTGCCAGTAAGAACAAGAAGAATCAGTTACAATCCAAGCTATTATTTAATCATTTCAATAACTGCAGTAGAATATCTTCAGTTAAAAGCTGAACCACATAAAAATACATTTCAGAACATTTACATTCTGAATATGTTTGGAAACCAAGCTGCAATCACAATAACATTTATTCTATGGACACAAGACCATATTTACATTTCAAATCACATTTAACACAAAACCCGTACTTTCACATAGCAAACAATCCCTTCTATCTTTAGCACAGATCTTAAAATAAATGATACTGATTTGAAGTGCACAAGACAAATCACAACAGCAGTGACAGTGTCACCTGTCAGAAATTACACTTAGAATCAAATGACTCTAAAACGAGATAAGCATCACTTGCATTGTTTGATTTGCTAATGCAGCTGTAGATATGGTAATGTAGATCTGACTGTAATGTGGCATACCTGAGCTTATCGGTTCAGTCTTCAGGACAGGTGTCTGTGACGAAAATGAGCACCGCTGATGGCTCAGAACTTTATGTGTGAAGACTTCTGTGCTCGGAGTGATTGAGGTTAGACATGTGGGGACAGTGGGCGGAGCCACAGACAGGTCAGCTTCAGCAAATGGGGTGTCTCATAAGTGCAAATGCACAAAAAAAGTCTGGAAATATGCCACATCAGTCTGCACTGCAAATGAGAATTTCAAATATGCAAAGCCAACAAAATCAAATACTCAGAGCTGCTAAAACACACAGAAAGGTTTCTATGTGGAAGTTGAACCGAATGCATCAAGAACATTTGATTAAATTCTCAAATATCTGCTTTAAACTATTTTACAATTATACTTATAATTATACTTAAAGTATAAAGACATACAATGCGCAATATAAAGAAATAACCAAACTTAGAATATGAAAATCATTTACTCACATCTACATCATTTACTCACCCTCATGTCATTCCAAACCTGTACGACTTTCTTTTGTGGAGCACAAAAGAAGACATTTCGAAGAACGTTGGGATACAAACAACTTTGGACCCCATTGACTTTCACTGTATGGACAAGAAAAAAAGAAATTACTGGAGACATTTTTCCACAGAAGAATGAAAAACATACAGGTTTGGAACTATGTAAGAATGAGCAAATATTTATTTTTGCGTGAACCATCCCTTTAACTAAACTTGCTATAAATTCTATGAATTATAACCAACGTAAAAAAAGAATAAATAAATAAAAATCTTGATAAAAGCCAAACCACCAGTGGAACAAAAGGGAAAGTGGAGCCAATAAAAGATGCAAAGCGCAGCTTAATATGTAACACAAGAGGACAGTTGAGCTGATTGCACGAATGCAAACAGAGACAAATGCTGAAATCATTCTAAAGACGTCTAGCTTCACCACATGCACACAGAGCGGGGCTGTGGAAGTCATTTGTTAATCAAAGCATACCGTTTTCTTTCCTTTTGTTTGTTCAGTCTGAAGGGAAATTATAGTGTCTGTCATTTAGCTAATGCAATGTAAAGTATAACAGGCTACAACAGAATAAAAAGTCCTTGTTTGGAGTTTATTTGCCTGAAATATCGTGTCCATGTTAATTTAACAGATTAATTTAAGTTACACTATTTGCTTCCACCTCTGACGGAGAGGTTCTGTGATGTATTTTTACAAGAGATTCACAACTATGACTGCGTTAGTGGTTAAAGTAATAAAGTAATGTAAAAACAGATATAAATCAAGGACAGAACTGCTTTACGCACTATTAATAGAAACTAGTGTTTGCATGTTCAGTGATAAGACTAGCTTCCTTCACAGCTTTTCAACAATGTAATGATCATTTGAAAGGTAGAACGTTTCCCTATTATTATTAATTATATAACAGGGGATGTACACTACTGTTCAGAAGTTTTAAGTTGGTAAGATTATTTTTATGTTTTTGAAAGAAGTCTCTTCTGCTCACCAAGGCTGCATTTATTTGATCAAAAACCAGTACAAACAGTAAAACTGTAAAATGTTATTACTATTTAAAATAACTGTTTTCTATTTGAACAATTTTAAAATGTCATTTATTCCTGTGATGCAAAGCTGAATTTTCAGCATCATTACTCCAGTCTTCAGTGTCACTTGATCCTTCAGGAATCATTTTAATATGCAGATTTGCTGTTTAGGAAACATTTCTTATAATTAGCAATGTTGAAAACAGTTGTGCTGCTTTATATTACACTTGTTTCAGTTCAAAACAACAGCATTTATCTGAAATAGAAATCTTTTGTAACATTATAAATGTCTTCACTGTCACTTCCGATCAATTTAATGCACCCTTACTGAAAAAAAAAAAGCATTAATTTCTTTGAAAAGAAATCTTACTGACCCCAAATGTTTGAACAGTAGCGTATGATTCAAAACTAGTTACCTGGTGACTTGTTCTTTGGTGCAAAAACCTGGTGCTGTGAAGAGTGTTGGCACTAAACTGCATGACCAAACCTGTTCTGGTGCATTTATCACCGTATAAAGTTACGACTAACTGAATAAAACCAATATCAGTTAATTTCCACCAGCTGGTGTGAAACGACAAGGTTAATGGTTGTTGAGCAAAAAAGGAAGAATCGTGGGGTGGGGGCATCCATTGGCATTTTACAATTCCTCTGAAGTGGAGTAAGTAAAACAGCTTGAGATGATATCAAGTCAAATACGCTACTCCTCTAGTATGTGTACTGTAAACTGTAGCACGTAAACTGAAATGGATATATTTATATACAAAAACAGCTAGGCTATGTTCACACTGTCAGTTTTTTGGATTGACAACCGCATTTACTTACAGGTGTGAGTCTCGAAATGTCACGTTCACACAGCAGCCTGCAGTAGCTTCTCGAATACTGTCTGTATGAACGTGCAACGAGAGTCAAGTCCGTATTTATTACCGGTAACCATAGCAACAGTTACCAAAGTAATATCAAAGATGGCGACGTCCACAAAACTTAAAAGTCTTATAATAATTCATTACATTTATATAGCGCTTTTCTAGGCACTCAAAGCGCTTTACATTGTGAGGGGGGATCTCCTCATCCACCACCAGTGTGCAGCATCCACCTGGATGATGCGACGGCAGCCATAGTGAGCCAGAACGCCCACCACACACCAGCTTATTGGTGGAGAGGAAACAGAGTGATGATGCCAATTAGCAGATATGGGGATTGTTAGGAGGCCATGATGATCAGAGGCCAATGGGCAAATTTGGCCAGGATGCCGAGGTCACACCTCTACTCTTTTCGAAAGACATCCTGGGATTTTTAATGACCACAGAGAGTCAGGACCTTGGTTTAACGTCTCATCCGAAGGACGGTGCTTGTTGACAGTATAGTGTCCCCATCACTATATTTGGGCGTTAGGACCCACACAGACCACAGGGTGAGCACCCCCTGCTGGCCTCACTAACACCTCTTCCAGCAGCAACCTAGTTTTCTCTGGAGGTCTCCCATCCAGGTACTGACCAGGCTCAGCCCTGCTTAACTTCAGTGGGCAACCAGTCTTGGGCTACAGGGTGATATGGCTGCCTTATCACTTTCTGACATGACAAGAATCCAATCGAGTCGCGAGTTCATCTGTCAAACCTTCATTAACCGACAGCAGATTTTATATTTTGGGTGGGGAGTGTTATTATGTGTGTATTAACTGTTCCCTCCTGGTGGAATGACCTGCCCAAATCAATCCGAGCAGCTGAGTCCTTAACCTTCTTCAAGAAACGACTAAAAACACATCTGTTCCACCTTTATTTGACCCTCTAACTCTAACACTTTCTATTCTATTTTAATTCTACTTTATCTATATTTATTTTTTTATTCTTTATTTAAAAAAAAACAACAAAAAACAAAAACTAGCTTTCTATTTTTTCTATTCTATCAGCCGGGAGAGGGTCCGTGAAGAAATACGGATGGAGCAAAGCCTGAGGAGCGAGACGGGGCACTATGAGTGTCACTGGAGTTACACGACTAAATGAACCTGTACAGAACTTCAAATGTGCACCTGTCTAGCACTGATCCTCTGTTTGGATGGATAGACGAGGAACTTCTTCAGCAGGTCCACAGCTTGTGGTGACGTGTCAGGCACGATCTCCTCCAAAGGAATGGGGGGGTTTTCTTTAAACGTGATTTTATTGTAGTCTGGTAGTTCTGTTATTTCCTAGATTGGATCAACAAGACATAGGTGAAATATTCACCCATAGCTCACCCATTGTGTGTCAAAACTGTAATGATGAACGGGGCATAGTGAATGCAAATGAGAGCTCACTGGCCAAACTTTCTGGTTGGGAGTTCCCAGCACTCGTAAAACACAGCACAACTGCTCAATGTCATTCTCTCCAGGGAAAAGTGGAGAGTTATTCAACAGCTCCCCAAAAATGCAGCCCACTGCCCTGAAACAAGCCAGAAGAGACACAGACACACCAGCTGAGTGTAGAATGGGCACTACTGCCATCTAGTGGACACTTCAGGAAAGACAAAGTTCACAAAATGACTTATGAGTAGAGACACTCATTTGAATACGTTATTTATTGTACTATGAAATCTGACATTTAGTCACAGTTTAGTTTGAGTTGATTATTTTGGTACAATTCATCTCATTTAATTTTCAAAAAATGAAAACAAAGACAAATGTAAACTATACATTTTACATCTACAGATTTAAGAATTGCATAATACATTGATTTTTAGAGTAATTATAATTATTTATCAATGGATAGAAACAGATAAAAATGTAAAAAAAAAAAAAAACATGCTGATGCATTTTACACTCCTTATCAGTAACATTTTACTCAATAATTATTTTTTAAATATAGGAAATTTCCTACCAGAGATCAACTCCTTCATCATATTTCCGGGCACCATACAAAAGTTCGGGTGATCTGTACCATCTGAAACACAGCACATTAAATATTTTTAGCCATTTAATCTATGCTTTAGCTGAAACACACCACTAGGAGCCAGAACAGACACAGACACACCAGCTGAGTGTAGAATGGGCACTACTGCCATCTAGTGGACACTTGAGGAAAGACAAAGTTCACAAAATGACTTATGAGTAGAGACACTCATTTGAATACGTTATTTATTGTACTATGAAATCTGACATTTAGTCACAGTTTAGTTTGAGTTGATTATTTTGGTACAATTCATCTCATTTAATTTTCAAAAAATGAAAACAAAGACAAATGTAAACTATACATTTTACATCTACAGATTTAAGAATTGCATAATACATTGGATATTTTTAGAGTAATTATAATTATTTATCAATGGATAGAAACAGATAAAAATGTAAAAAAAAAAAAAAACATGCTGATGCATTTTACACTCCTTATCAGTAACATTTTACTCAATAATTATTTTTTAAATATAGGAAATTTCCTACCAGAGATCAACTCCTTCATCATATTTCCGGGCACCATACAAAAGTTCGGGTGATCTGTACCATCTGAAACACAGCACATTAAATATTTTTAGCCATTTAATCTATGCTTTAGCTGAAACACACCACTAGGACCAGAGTAGCTCAATGCCGGCTTGACAGAAGCTTTAAGTAAACTATCACCTGGTGGCCACCTGGTGACTGTACAGACGATCTCCTTCATTGGAAAAGAGCCTGGCCAGACCGAAGTCAGCGATCTTCAGGTGACCCGTTGAGCTGATTAGAAGGTTTGCAGGCTTTAGATCCTGCACACAAAAACATGTAAAGCACATTAATAGGACAGATCACAGTGAAGGACAAATGTAATGACATGAGGAACACAGCCTCACCCGGTGCATGATGGAGTTCTCGTGGCAGAAAGCCACTCCTTTCAGCAGCATCATCATGTAGCCTTTGACCTGGGATGCGGTGAGAGGACGCTGGGAATTCCGAATGACTTCTGACAGATCTGAAAACATGTACTCAAACACCAGCACAAAGCCTGTGCCGTGCGGGAAGACATCCTTCAGCTTCACCACCTATAGAGGTGATCAAAACAGAAATAAAAATACATCTAGATCAAATGAGGAAAATATAAATAATAAAGGATTCCAGGTTATCCAAATCATCATAGCATGGAAGCCCATTTCTGCCACATGAAAAAAAAAATCTTGCTTTGGTAAATCATAATGACATAAAAAAATAATAATAATTATGACTAAAGTTCTGACTTTTTGCCATAACTTTGACTTCAAACTCATAAATGACAGTCATGACTTAGCATGTCATGATTTAGACTTCTCATATTTGTCTTTTCGTCTCATAAATGACTTAGTATGTCAATATCAGGTTTTCATCTCATAATTTTAACTTTCTTTTCATAATTTCGACCTCATAAATAATTTTTACTGTTAGATTTTTTTTTTTTACTTCTCAAATGATTTAGTATGTCAATTTAAGTGAAAAAAAGTGACGTGACCCATACTTGGAATTAGTGCTCTGCATTCAACCCATCCTAAGTGCACACACACAGCAGTGAACACACACACACTGTGAACACACACACACGGAGCAGTGGGCAGCAGTTTTGCTGCAGCGCCCGGGGAGCAGTTGGGGGTTCGGTGCCTTGCTCAAGGGCACCTCAGTCGTGGTATTGAAGGTGGGAGAGAGCGTTGTACATTCACTCCCCCCACCTACAATCCCTGCTGGTACGAGACTCGAACCCACAACCTTTGGGTTACGAGTCCGACTCTCTAACCATTAGGCCACGACTTCCCCAGACAACTTTGCCTTTTCATCTCATAATTTTGACTTTTATATCAATTTCCACTTTCATCTCAAATTTCTGGCATGAGTTTGCAAGTCATAATTTAGACTTCTCATAAGTGTGTCTTTTCATCTCATAAATATGACTTAGTATATCATAACTTCGACTCTTCATCTCATAATTTTGACTTTTTGTCATCACTTCGACTTTCATTTCATACATTTCTGCCATTACTATGGCATAATTTCAACTTTTCATCTCAGAATTATGACTTTTTGTCATAATTTTTATTTTTCATCTCGTAATTTTGCCTTTTTTATGTCGTAATTTCCATTTTCCATTTTTTTACTTTTTGTAAAAATTATGATTTTTTTCCCCTTTTTTATAAAATCATTTTGACTTTATATCATAATTATGATTTAGTATTGCCTAACTTTGTCGTTTCACCTTATAATTATGACTTTTAATCTCATTTCATGTCATTTACCACCATTAGGCCACGACTTCCCCAGACAACTTTGTCGAGTTTGCAAGTCATAATTTAGACTTCTCATAAGTGTGTCTTTTCATCTCATAAATATGACTTAGTATATCATAACTTCGACTCTTCATCTCATAATTTTGACTTTTTGTCATCACTTCGACTTTCATTTCATACATTTCTGCCATTACTATGGCATAATTTCAACTTTTCATCTCAGAATTATGACTTTTTGTCATAATTTTTATTTTTCATCTCGTAATTTTGCCTTTTTTATGTCGTAATTTCCATTTTCCATTTTTTTACTTTTTGTAAAAATTATGATTTTTTTCCCCTTTTTTATAAAATCATTTTGACTTTATATCATAATTATGATTTAGTATTGCCTAACTTTGTCGTTTCACCTTATAATTATGACTTTTAATTTCATGTCATACATTTCTGCCATTACTATTGCATAATTTCAACTTTTCATCTCAGAATTATGACTTTTTGTCATAATTTTTATTTTTCATCTCGTAATTTTTCCTTTTTTATGTCGTAATTTCCATTTTCCATTTTTTTACTTTTTGTAAAAATTATGATTTTTTTCCCCTTTTTTATAAAATCATTTTGACTTTATATCATAATTATGATTTAGTATTGCCTAACTTTGTCGTTTCACCTTATAATTATGACTTTTAATCTCATTTCATGTCATTTACCAAAGCATTATGTTATGTGGCGCAAATGGGCTTCCATATTCATAGAATGTGAGTTGCATAAGCAAAAGAGCTCTATCTTTACTACACAAGTCTTCAGTGATCAGTATCTCTCACGTATTGGTTGTCCTCAATCTCTTGCAGGGCTTTGATTTCTCGCAGGGCCTGGTTCGGAATACCATCTTCAAGTCTTCGCAGAGCAACTTTTTTCAAAGCCACCGTCTCTCCTGTCTGAACAGAAACAGATGAAGCAGTGCAGAAGCGTGCAGACAGCGACCTGTTCTTCAGCTTTTGTGAACTATTGTCATTTATACAGGATCAATACAGATATCCCGAAAACAGTCCAGTCCTACCTCGATGTGTTTGGCTTTGAAAACAATCCCGTGAGCTCCTTCCCCAATCCTTCCCAGAATACTGTACTGATCCATTCCGTGTCTTTGTTTCCTATTCACGCACTGGCAAGTATTCAGCAAAGTAACTGTGCAAAACAAAACATTAATATAAAACTGAAGGAAAACAGTTGCTAGCAGGACGATTGTTTCAAAGAGATCATCTGTGGTAAAGACCCGATGACGCTCCGCTGCAGCGAATAGCAATTGCCATGGAGACCGTTTCTGTATGGCAAGCGAATGAAGACAAATGTATTTTTAAAACGACCACGTACTGATTTATTCTAGTCAACAACATAAATAAAAACGGACAAATAATATTTTTCTAACAAAAATGGAAAGATCATTCTACCTAATATTTTAATTATTATCAGTATAATTGTAGTTTTTTTTTTTTTTTCAACGGCACTGGCATAAACAAAGATCTGTCAGGTGGCAACTGTTACTTTTCTCAGCGCTGTTCTGGACGGACCAATCATAATCGATTGCGCTTTCTAATTTATATATTTTTTAATTTATATTAAAATAAATATATTTTTTTATTTACAGCGATTGATTGCTTAAGCTGATCTACATTTATGTGTCACATACCAGCATTTGGAAAGTAACATTTAAATGATTATGATTTTGTAGCGTAGAAATGTCCCTAGGTTTATGGGTAATGTTATCAACCCACGAGTAAAAGCATTTTACCCTGGATATCCTATAACTTAATGGAAAGCATTTGTTTGTTTTTTCATATGCATATGTACATGCATTTTCATACATACACATATATAGTTAACCGTTTTCTAAATCCATGCTGTAGACTTACGAGCCAAATAGACTTGAGCAATCCTCCATGTTAAAAGATGTTAAACATGTTAAGTTTGACCTACATTTGAGGGCAAATATGGTACATTTTCGACTCGCTTACAGGATTTAAAGAAAATATTAATGTTAAAATTCCAAAGCCATGTATTTTCTTTTTCCTGATACAAATAATCTTTAATCACTTGCTGGTCATCTATATTTCTTGTACATACCATTTCTCAGAAGACAAGACCATCAGCAACACAAATGACAAAAACGCTGAAGTAAACAGCAGGCAAAACCAGACAAATGAACAGAGACAGAATTCCATTACTTTTATATGTCAAGACACAAAAGCAATCAATAGATGACAACATGTAAAAACATTTTGTTACAGAGAATTATATAAAAAAGGCAAAGAGTTTTTCGTTTAACGTCTTGCTACGTGAAAGAACTAATTTACAACGGAGTTCAAACTCTGGCTAAGCCAACAATCCATCTGCAACGTTTTCCCAACCACTAGAAACAGGAACAAACAGTTTCCAACTTCCATTCAAAAAAAGATTTCCACCAATTTAGCATTTACACAGGCCTGCATCCCTAAACAAGTCCAAACAGCCTGAAGCAGAGAATGAAAATGGTTCGAACTTTTGCTGCACAGTTTGAGAAGAATCCCAATTCGTATCTACCAACTCAATGCAAAACCAAGCATATAAAAGTAACGTGAGATTCAGAAAAGTAAATGTACAGGAACTATAGACTAATGACAGGGGGGAAATAAAAATAAAAGCATCTTTTTCTGTAGTAGGCTTCTATAAACGCCAAAAAATAAAAAGCTGGGTGGGAAAAAAAGGTGGAGAAAGCCTCAAAAGTGGGTTATTGATCAGAACAAATACATACATTTTACACTACAATTCCCAAAATAAAGGTCAAATCATTAATGAACACGGGAAACACTGTGGCCCGCATGTCAAGTCCACAAGCATGGAGACTACAGGGATGAGCAGTTAACATGTTGAGGAGAGGTGTGAGGTTTAAAACTGCGCCCTGAAGCACAAATACATGACAAGGAAAGACTTTTCTTATTTAAAAAATAATAATAATAATAATAATTACAAAAATAAAGCACACACAAAGAACTCCTGTATCACCATTTACTATTTTGAGGATTTTTTTCTCTCTCTTTATACAAGATCTAGTTGACGCAATGCAAAAGTAGTATGCTTTTTTTCCATCTACATGGATTGAAGTCCTTTTCGTCTTCAGCGTTGCGGTCCACAAATTGTCCCTCACAGCAAATGTATGAACACACAGTGATGCAAAACAGGCTACTGAACTCGAAGTGAATGAATAATTACAGATTCTCCGAATTAACAGTCTTTTCCCTCAGAAGCATCACCAAGTGCTGTTCGTTTTCATTTTATTTCGATGCATTTCCCTGCTTCGTTTCGCTGTCCACACTCCCTCCTCCGTATCTCCGTCTCCTTTCAGCACGTGGTTGAAATATAGACTTGCCCAAATAATAAAAACATCAACAAACTGACAAGAGCGCAAAGTTATTTTTCTGTTATCTATTGCTTGTATTGAAATAAGCTTAAAAATAAATGAATATCAAGGGAGGAAAACAAAGAATAAAGTATCTGATATAACAGTTATAACTAGACTGAACGCTGTTGTTGGAATCTCTTTACACAAAATTGTCAGGAAAAGCAAATGCATGTGCTTCTGAGGAGTAATAATAATAAGTAATAAGGCGTCCATGGCACCAAAATGTCCAGTGATGGGAGCGGATTTCCCAAAAATGGAAACAAAGGTTTGCCGTTTTTTTTTAACGTTTTCCTATTTTTGGCTGCAGTTTCCTTCCATTTTGTTTCATATGATGGAATGGGGTGAGAAGTGGAAGCAGGAAGGTCTTTCAGCAGGAGGTGGAGTTCAGTCATGGTTCAGCTCATAAACAGGGCGGGGTCAGGGGTCATGCGAGCTCTCACTGGTCAGGTCTGGCCTTCTTTGGACCAGCGCCTTTCCTAAAAGGGCAAAGAAACGTCCAGTTTCAGTAAAACACATTAGGTCTGGTATACAGGTCTGCATTATTCATTTTGAGAGGTGTAAGGGCAACATACTCACATATCAGGGGACGAGACCGGCCTTTTTGCACCAGGTTTGGCCGCAGAGCCATCTTTACTGGTTTCTGCAAACATATTAAAAAAATAAATAAAACTATTTCATTCCACAGCTTTAAGATGTTTAAATGCACCCTTTTCATATTTTCAGAGTTCTAACAAGTCATAATCATATTTGGTTAAACTTGGTGAACAGAAACAAATATAATTTTTGCTTCACATTTGCTCCAATAGCAAAAGTAGAAATCCACAATAGCATTAGTATTAGCATAGTGTATTTAAATGTATTGCCATATCAGATTTACATGGCAGATATAGATTCAACATTCCAAAAACATTACACTAAAATAAAATGGAATTGAGAAAAATGTAATGCATATTTTTTAAAATAAAATATAAATTGAATAAAACAATAAAATAAAAATGAAATTTTTATAAAATTTAACAAAAAAATGACTAGATATATCTACATATATTTATACATGTACACAAACACACACTATATATATATATATATATATATATATATATATATATATCTCTCCGTGATGACTCGATCGGTACTCACTAACTTGGCCGATCTCACGAACCGATCGCAATTTGATGAAGTCAACGTGTGATGACGTACATGATGCGTGGGGACAAATGATTTGGCGCTGCAGTCATGTCATCGCTGGTGTGGAAATGCTATGACTTTTTGAGAAACAATGAAAAATTAGCTATTTGTCGTGTATGTTTTGCATGATGATATGATAAATAGATGGTTCATTTTTAACAGCAGATTCGGTGACGTTAGAGCTGATCTGCGCCTCACTGCACATGTTTGCGGCACGTTACGGCTCCCGGAGCTGATCACGGCCGCTCTAGTCAGTGCTTGTGTTTATCAGCCAGCCGCGGCATGTTTCTGAAGTATCCTTCTCATGAAAAAAATTTATTTAAAAAAATGTAGTTAATATATTTGCATCATTTATGATTTATTTTATCCACCCACGACCCACCCACAAATAATCAGAATGCATCACGGCTCTACGCTTACTTTTCTTTTAAAAAAAAATGTACTTAAATTTAGGAGCACGTTCAAAATTTTAGGAGCACCTTCTAATCAATAATCCAAAATTTTATCAAAAATTAGC